TCATAGCAGCATGAGAACAGACTAATACAAAGGCAGAAGTATTTGTATACCTCACAAGTGCTTTTTCAAGCCCTCCCTTACCATCTATGGGGCAAAGGAAGTCACATGACTGAGTTCAAAGTTGGAATGTGAGGGCCTGGATGCAAAGAGGTAACTAACTGGGGCCTTTATAAAGCAAAAATATAATACAATATCTAGTTGCTTGTGATATTACATTGATCAGTAGATTCAGGTGTTGCCTTCCCAATATGCCTATTTTTCAAGTAATGATGATATACCAATTCTATCATTACTTCTGCATTTATGGACTTACACTTAACTTCTTCTGTAAAGTAGAACTTACCCCCTATCAATTAATTGCTTATGCTAAAATACAGGATGAATAGTATTTTCATGTATTTACTAGTTTCAGAATAGTGAATTGGTACCATATCATTCAAGTTCCAAAAGGGCTAATGAGTTTTTTTATCATTTTGAACTCATGGATTTTTAACCTGTTTGAGGTGTTTGGTCCATTACAGTCATTACTCCTTTTCATAGTTGATATGGTTTGGCTCTGTGTCCTCATCCAACTCTTATCTTGAATTATACTCCAATAATTCCCACGTGTTGTGGGAGGGACTTGTTGAATCATGGGGGCTGTTTCTTCCATACTGTTCTCGTGGTAGTGAATAAATCTCACGAGATCTGATGATTTGATAAGGGGAAACTCATTTTACTTGGCTCTCATTCTCTCTCTTGCCTGCTGGGATGTAAGACCTGTCTTTTTGCCTTCTGCCATGATTCTGAGGCCTCCCCAACCATGTAGAACTGTAAATCCAATGAAATTTCTTTCTTTGGTAAATTGCCCACTCTTGGGTATGTCTTTATTAGTAGTGTGAAAATGAACTAATACAATACTCAAGCTGCCCCATCTTTTCCTAGTGGCAGACCCTTCAATTAGGTTCCTGTGTCTTTTTGATGTGATCCCAGATAGCTTTTTTCCTTCCTTTTATGACTAGATCTTCCAAGCTCATCCTGCTGCAGAGGTAGATTCAGCCATTTCTCCAGAGGGTCCTGGTTCCTTTTACTGGGAACTATTTAAAGACCACACACTATGAGTTCTGGGAGATAGGAGCTTTAAACAACAGATTCTGTGTGAACAACATTACGGTCTTGCAAATGTGGTGGACATGCAGGTGTAATTTGTTTGTTTGTTTTTGTTTGTAATATATCAACTTCATTCTGGGAACAACATTTCATCTTTTGGAAAACTGCTTTTTTTTCTCACTTTAATGATTTGGTTTTAATCATCACACTCTGACTCTCTAGGTATAAGCACAGGCACATCACTGAAGTCCTTTGCTAGAATCTTTAGATCTGGAACTGGAGAAAGAATTAAGTTACCAACAAAAATTTGAGAGGTGCTGGAACTGTCCACCAGCCCTATTTTCTACTGTGTGTAGGAAGCTGGTTTGACATCTGATATGGTTTGGCTCTATGTCCCCACACAAATTTCATGTTGAATTGTAATTCTCAATGTTGGGGGAGGGACCTGGTGGGAGGTGACTGGATCATAGGGGCAGATTTCCCCCATGCTGTTCTCAGGATAGTGAGTTCTCACAAGATCTGATGGGTTTAAAAGTGTGTGGCACTTCTCTTGTGCACTCTCTCTCTCCTGCTACCATGTGATGAAGGTGCCTGTTTCCTTCTTCACCTTCCCCCATGATTGTAAGTTTCCTGAGGTCTCCCTGTCATGCTTCCTGTACAGTCTGTGGAACTATGAGTCAATTAAACCTCTTTTCATAAGTTACCCAGTCTCAGGTAGCTCTTTATAGCTGTGTGAGAACAGACTAATATAACATCCTTGATGAATTCAGTGTCTATGGGGCTATTCCATCTAGTGCCCCAACCTCAGATATCTCTTACTTTCTCAAACTTATTGACTGCAGCTTGTTGCCACTTTAGCCTCTCATTCCCATTACTATTTTCTCAGAATGTTTCATTAACTGAAACTGCTCTGCCTCTGAAATTGTAACTCTTGCAGCCACCTCACTGATCACAATCATTTCTTTCACCAGTGCTCTCACTTTGGTTATTTCTGATACACAAATTTTATACCCTACTGAGGTCGCTGGTCCCCTAACTTCTCAGGGTTCCTCCTATCATCCCTTTCCAGTCTATCCCACAAATTGCATATCTTTACTCACACTTATTGCTCCTGGGTTCTTTTTCCAGAGCCTGCCTGCAGAAGTGTCACTATGAAACAGTGCAACTCTCCCTTCTAGTCTTGGGTCCTTTTGGAGAAAAGTACACAATAATATGTGCCTATTAAAAAGCCACTTAAAATTCATGGTCTGAGGCTTCAGCTGAGATCAACCCTGTTGCCTGGCACTTTCCTCTCTGAGATGGTTACGCTTTGTGTTGCTATACAAATCTCATCTTGAATTGTGATCCCCATGATCCCCAGATGCCAAGGGAGAGACCTGGTGGGACGTGATTGGATCATAGGGGCAGTGTCCTCCATGCTGTTCTCCTGATAGTGAGTGAGTTTTCACAAGATCTGATGGTTTTATAAGTGTCTGATGGTTCTTCCTTCTCACACTTGCTCTTTCTCACCTGCTGCCATGTAAAATGTGCCTCAGGAGCTAGCAGTAGGGCACTGCTCTGCCATTGGGTAAGGTGGGGAGTGAAGTGAAGGGCTCCCCAGGTAAGGCCAGGCTGACTGCAAAAAGATGGATACTATGATGTTGAAAATGCAGAATCTGTTTGAGCAGCTTATGCACCAGGTGGAGATTCTCAGTGATGGAAACAAACTCCAAATTATCCAGTTGGCAAAGGAATTTGAAGATTTCCTTTAAAAGTGGCAGAAGACTGACCATGAGCTGGTGGAATAAAAGGATCTTTTGATGAAAGCAGAGATTGAGCGAAGTGCTCTGGATGTTAAGCTGAAGCACATATGTAATCAGGTGGATGTAGAGCTCAAACAGAGACAGAGAGCTGAGGCTGATGGCAAAAAGCTGGAATTACAGGTTCGGCTGATTCAAGAGATGCTCATGTGTGACACATCTGGCAGCATTCAACTAAGCGGGGAGCAAAAATCAGCTCTGTCTTTTCTTTTTTATTGCACTTTAATGTGCAGAACATGCAGGTTTGTTACATAGGTATACACGTGCCATGTTGGTTGGCTGAATCCATCACCTCGTCAACTACATTAGGTATTTCTCCTAATGCTATCCCTCCCTACCCTCCACCCACCAATAGTCCCTGGTGTCTGGCTTTTCTCAACAGGGGCCAACCATCCAACAGCAATGCTGGGAACAAAAGACTATCAACCATTGATGAATCTGGTTCCATTTTATCATATATCATCTTTGATAAGACTGATGAATCACTGGATTGGGACTCTTCTTTGGTGAAGACTTTCAAACTGAAGAAGAGAGAAAAGGGGTGCTCTTGTAGCTGACAGTTTGTTGATGGTCCTCCTGGACGTGTACAGAAAACTTGTTCCATTGGCTCCACAGTAGACCAGGGGAATGAATCCATAGTTGCAAAAATTACAGTGACTGTTTCCAATGATGGCGGGCCCATCAAAGCTGTGTCCACTATTGAGACTGTGCCATACTGGGTCAGGAGCCAAAGGAAAACAGGTACTTTACATCCTTGGAACAGTGACTCCACCCTAAACAGCAGGCAGCTGGAGCCAAGAACTGAGACAGACAGTGTGGGCACGACACAGAGTAATGGAGAGATGTGCCTGCATGACTTTGTCTCTAAGACAGTTATTAAACCTGAGTCCTGTGTTCCATGTGGAAAGTGGATAAAATTTGGAAAACTATCTCTGAAGTGTCAAGACTGTCATGCGGTCTCTCATCTAGAATGTCAGGACTGCTGTCCCCTTCCCTGCCTTCCTACCCTGATAGGAACACCTGTCAAGACTGGAGAGGGAATGCTGGCAGACTTTGTGTCCCAGACTTCTCCAATGATCCCTTCCGCTGTTGTGCATTGTGTAAATGAGATTAAGCAGAGAGGTCTGACAGGCAGGCCTGTATAGTATCTTGGGCTATGACTGCACAGTAAAAGAGTTCAAACAGAAATTCCTCAGAGTGAAAACTGTACCCCTCCTCAGCAAAGTGGATGATTTCCATGGTGTCTGTAGCCTTCTAAAAGACTTCCTGTGAAATCTCAAAGAACCTCTTATGACCTTTTGCCTGAACAAAGCTTTTATAGAAGCAGCAAATATCACACATGAAGACAACAGAATAGCTGACATGTATCAGGCTGTTGGTGTACTGTCCCAGGCCAACAGGGACATATTAGCTTTCCTTATGATTCACTTGCAGAGAGTGGCTCAGAGTCCACATACTAAAATGGATGTTGCCAATCTGGCTAACGTCTGGCCCTACACAAGTGGTCCATGCTGTGCCAGTGACAATGTTACAGGATATCAAGCATCAACCCAAGGTGGTTGAACACCTGCTTTCCTTGGAGTATTGGAGTCAGTTTATGATGGTGGAGCAAGAGAACATTGGCACCCTACATGTCACTGAAAACTCAAATGCCTTTTCAACACTACAGATACCAGATATTAAAGTGAGTTTATTGGGACCTGTGACCACTCCAGAACATCAGCTTCTCAAGACTCGTTCATTTAGTTCCCTGTCACAGAGAGTCTTTTCCACTCTCACAAAGAACACTCCAAGATTTGGGAGCAAGAGCAAGTCTTCTACCAACCTAGGATGACAAGGCAACTTTTTTGCTTCTCCAATGCTCAAGTGAAGTTACATCTGCCTACTACTCCCCAGCACTGACTGACTATAAGAAAGGACACACCTGTACTCTCTGCTCTGCAGCCTTCTGTACTCATTACTACTTTAAGTATTCTCTAGGCTTTTAATCAAGTTTAATTGTGCATGAGGGTTTTATTAAAACTATATATATCTCCCCTTCCTTCTCCTCAAGTCACATAATATCAGTACCTTGTGCTGATCGTTGTTGGGAGATTTTAGATGAGAGATTAGGGGCAGAAGAGTTAGTATGGAATTGGTTGTGATTCTTTTTGGGGAAGGCGGTTATTATCCCTTTGGCTTAAAGCCAAATGCTGCTCATGGAATGAATGATCTTTCTCTGTTTCATTGAGAACTATTTTTCATGAGACAGTGACAGAGACCCTACCTATCTGATAAGATTGGCTTGTCTCAGGGTGAGAAGTGGGACAGGGCATGGAGGAGGGCAATGAAAGGATGAGATCAGAGGATTTAGGGTGTCTCCTTCTAAGAACCAAAAGTTCTTATTTCCCATTATGAGCTGAGCTATAACATGGGGCTTTCATAAAAATCGATACACTGAGAATAGAACTAGTAATGGGAGTATGCATAGCTTTAATTTGGATGATTAGTTCTTAATAGCATTGAGTGGCACAACCTTGTAAATACGAAAGTACAACTTGTATTTATCGCGAATGTGCCACTGGCTGAACTTTGAGTTCATTTGGAGTCAAAGCCAGTTTTTCTTTTAAAATTGAATTCATTCTGATGCTTGACTCCTATAATCCCAAACTTGTCCCGTGGAGCCCAACTTCTAAAGGTCAATATATCATCTTTTGGCATCCCAACTAACAGTAAAGGGTAGGCTATAAGGGAAAGATTCCCAATCTTCTATTTAGTAAGAAAAGCCACTGTCATTTTTTCTTTGCACTTTGATGCTGAAATTTCCCCATGGAACACAGCCACATCTAGATAGATGTGACATTTTTCTTCCATTAAAATTATTCTTAATGTCTGTAAAAATGATTTCCTTCTATAGAATGTTTGACTTCATATTGACCCTTATCTGTAAAACACCTATTTGTGATAATATTTGGAAAAATATAAATAGCTTTTTCAAAATGAAAAAAAAAATGTGTGTCTTCCCCTTCTGCCATGATTGTAAGTTTCCTGAGGCCTTCCCAACCCTGCAAAACTGTGAATTAATTAAATCCCTTTTCTTTATAAATTATCCAGTCTTGGGCAGTTCTTTATAGCAGTGTGAAAACAGACTAATACATTCATACATTCTCTTACTTCTCAAATGGCTATTCCAGACCTTCCCCTAGCTCCTCTCCTCACTACAGCTGACTCTAGTTTCTTGCCCTCAATGTCAGCTAACTTCATTTTTAACTTTCTGTTAACAGAGACTCTAATTTGCTTTCAAGTGTCAGACACTGAGCAAGAAACTTTGAATGCATTATCTTATTTACACATCAAAATAGTGCTATGAGTTAGGATAAATATCCCATTTCACCAAAAAGGAAACGGATTCTAAGAGAGGTTAAATGACTATCCCATGAGTGTCCAATATACTTGCATAACAAGCCACCCCAATTTATTGGCTTAAAATAATTAACTGGAATAATTTCTCATGAGTTCTGGGTCCATTGGCTGGTTCTGCTGCTCTGGACTGGACTCACTCATGCATCTGCTGTCAGCTGGCAGGTCACCTGGGATCTTGGGACAATCCTGCTTTGCTCCATGTGGCCTTTTATCTCCTTCCATGGGCAACGCCAGGTCTGTTTTCACAGAGATCACATGAGTCCATGAAAGGAAACAGAAACACCCAAGTGTCCTTCAGGCATCTGCTTGCTATCCCATGGGCTGAAGCAAGTCTCACAACTGAGCTCAGAGTCAGAATCGGAGTGAACTACAAAATTGCAGTGGGGAGGGAGCTCATTAACTTGGACTATAAAAAAAAATTGCTCTACCACATATAGCTAATTAGTTGTACAGATGAATTTCGAACCCAGATTTCTTAACACAGAGCCCATTTTCTTTCCTCTATTCTCACAGCTTCTTCACCAAAAAATCCCCCAGAAGTCATGAGGCAAGAATTCTAATGTTTTTCTTCCCCCTCCCCACAAAGTCTCTCTGAATCCATCTATTTTTATCTCTTTTCTCTCAAGTGAAGGAAAATGTTGCCCCTTCTTTGTTCAATTTTAATTGCTCCACTTGGACTATGGATTCTCCTTCTTCCTTCAAGAATTTTGCTCCCTCAAACACCCCCATCTATCCTTGACCTTCAGCCTCTCTTCTGCAGTGCCCCCTTTCTCTCATCATATAAATATCCCTGACTTTTGTTTTAACCCCATGATTCCCTTTAGCTTTCCCTTGGTGATTCTTCAACCTCCCCATCTCCACTTTCTTACCTTCTATTGGCATTCAGCAGTCCACAAGCTAGTTTCTGCCTCCCTTGCCCCCATGAAAAGAGGCTCTTGTCTAAGTCACTCATGATCAAGTTGCTTATTTTTTTGGTCTGAGGCATTTTTAGAGTTAGTATATTAATGAAGGTAGGTGAGGATAAGCCGTGGAAACCAGTTCCTCAATCTTAATGGGCTTACCCAATAAAAATTTAGTTTTCATTTAGGTCATAATCTCCCCATATATTTGCTTGTTGGCCTTCCCTGTGGTGACCCAGGGCCTTAGGTTCCTTTCATCTTGTGGCTCCACCATCTCCTAGGGACTAAAGTCTCTCCACCGACCTCTGCACCTGCCAGCTGAGGAGTCAAGAGTGTCGAAGGTTGTTTGAGTTGTTAGAAGGGGACCGGGCCAGGGAGAAATTTATCACTTCTACCTTTATTCCATCGGCCATAACACAGCCTGCAAGGAAAGCTGGGACATGCATTGTAGCTGTCTTCCAGTTGGAAAAACAAAGTGCTACATATACAGCAGTTCTTTACCAAAGTCTGCCATCCTTTCTTTCTGAAACTCTCTCCTGTGTCTTCCATGACACCATTTATCTTGGTTTGTCTTCAAATCCTGGCTACTTATTTTCAGTCTCTCACAGCTCCTCTGATGCTTAAATGTTGGTATCCCTCTGCACTTTGTTCTTAAGTCATTTATCTTCACACTACATATTCACTCTGGAACATTCAATAAACATACAGCAGGTCTATCTCCATCTTTAAAACCTGCTCTTCTTACTTTAAGTCTCCATTTTGGTAGGTGGATATCTCCCCAGTCACTAAACCAGAAAATGAAGTGATCCTACATTCTTTCCTTATCCTCTATAACTGAGCCTCAGCACTACTCTCAGACTCAGCACTACTGACATTTTAGACAGGATAACTGTTTGCCATGGGAGAGGTTCTGCACATTGTAGAATGTTTAACAGCATCCTTGGCCTTTGCCTGCTAGATGCCAGTACGGAACCCCTTCCCATGTTGTGATAACCCAAAAAAACCTTCAGACATTGCCAAATGTCCCCTGGGGAAGGCGAGACTGTTTCCAGTTATCTCCAGTTAAGAGCTGCCCTATAAAAATCGTCCAGTCCTATAGATTCAACCCTGACAACATTAGCTTTCTTCATTTAATTCTTTTGCTATTTCTTTCTTTTCTTTTCTTTTCTTTTTTTTGGAGACAGGATTTCACTCTGTCACCCAGGCTGGAGTGTGGTGGCATAATCACAGCTCACTGCAGCCTTGACCTCCTGGGTTAAAGTGATCCACCAACCAAAGCCTCTTGAGAAGCTGGGACCACAGGGGCATGCCACCATACCCAAATAATTTTTTTGATTTTTTTTTTTTTTTTTTTTTTTGTAGAAATGAGTCTCTCTATGTTGCCCAGGCTGGTCTTAAACTCCTGAGCTGAAGCAATCCTCCCATATCAGCCTCCCAAAGTGCTAAAATTACAGGCATGAGCCACCTCGCCTGGCCCATTTCATTAAATTTCTCATCATTTCGCCTCTAGATATTTCCAGTTGCCTCTCTCTGGCTGTGGCAAGCAAGTTTGCTGACCCAACAGTAATTTTTGACTCAAATCTTCCTTGCTACCATGCACTAAAAGAAAAACGAAATAGTTGTTTTTCAGCCTCATTTGCATCTAAGGATAGCCAGCTGATACATCGTAGCATGGAATATTAGGTTTGTGAAGGGGAGATAGTTGAACCTAAAGGTTAACAGCAATGCATCTCAGCCTCATCACTCTGACAGTTGTGTCGCCTTAGGAAAGTTACTTAAATTCTATGTGCCCCATCAGTAAAATTGGGATAATAGTAGTACCAACCTTATGGTATTATTGTGAAGATAAATGAGTTAATATGTATAAAGTCTTTAGTATAAGCACACCTGTTTTATTGTTTTATTCCACTTTACTTCATTGTGCTTCACAGATATTGTGTATTTTACAAATTGAAGGTTTGCGTCAACCCTGCAAGGCTATCACTGAACAAGGCTATCAGTGCAATTTTTCCAAAAGCATGTGTTCACTTTGTGTCTCTGTGTCACATTTTGGTAATTCTTGCAATATTTTGATTTTTTTCATTATTATTATATCTGTTATGGTGATCTGTGATCTTTGACATTACTATGGTTTTGGGGCACCAAGAACTGTGCCCCTATAAGACAGTAAACTTAATCAGTAAATGTTGTATGTGTTCTGACCACTCCACCAACTGGCTGTTGGCTGTTTTCCAATCTCTCTGTCTCCTTCAGGCTTTCCTATTCCCTGAGACACAAGATTAGGCCAATTAATAAGCCTAGCTTGTAGGTGTTCAGGTGAAAGGAAAAGTTACACAACTCTCACTTTAAATCAAAAGCTAAAAATGATTCAGCTTAGTGAAGAAGGCATGTCAAAAGTCAAGACAGGCCAAAAGCTAGGCCCCTTGCACCTAATAACCAAGTTGTGAATGCAAAAGGAAAGTTCTTGAAGGAAATTAAAAGTGCTACTCTAGGGAACCCAAACATGATAAGGAAATAAAACCACCTTATTGCTGATATAGAGAAAGTTTAAGTGGTCTGGATATAAGACTGAACCAGCCATATTTCCTTAAGCCAAAGCCTTAACCAGAGAAAGGCTCCAACTTTCTTCAATTCTGTGAAGGTTTTGGGAGGCGAGGAAGCTGCAGAATAAAAATCTGAAACTAACGGAAGTTGATTCATGAGGTTTAAGGAAAGAAGCCATCTCTGTAACATAAAAGTGCAAAACAAAGTGTCAAGTGCTGATGGAGAAGCTGAAGCATCTGTTCCAGAAGATCTAGCTAAGATAATTGACAGAGGTGGCTACATTAAACAACAGATTTTCATTGTAAATGAAACAGTCTTCTATTGGAAGAAGATGCCCTGCAGGACTTTCATAGCTAGAGAGGAGAAGTCAGTGCCAGTCTTCAAAGCTTCAAAAGACAGGCTGACTCTCTTGTTAGGGGGTAATGCAGCTGGT